TATCTGAGCAGAAAACAGCCAGTTAGAAGACAAACAAAAACACGGGCAAGTAATAATGTAAGAAAAAGCTAAATACACAGCAAAATTAACTAAGTTTTAGAACACTCTAAGTGGAAGGCAGTTTAAGATTACCAGGCTGTAAAAATATTGAATATCCTTCGTAGGAAATATTCAACAAGATGTTTAGAAACATAAAATAAGTATGGAGAAATGAAAAAAATTGTAAGAAGCAGATTATGCAAATATATTATTTTTTTTATTTTTATTTTTTATTTTTGTTAATGGCAAAAATGTGTAGAAACACATCCAGCTGGGCTTGTGGGAAAACAGAAATGCAAAAGAGATCCTATAAAATATAGATGCAGTGTTCGCTGAAGGCCTGACCCCAGATCTTAAGGACAGTTACAATGCTGTGTTCACCCTTGAACTCTGTGGCTGTATAGTTAAACAAAAGGGGTCATCTATAGCAATGTTTTGATCATGACATGATAGCTCAGGAATGCGTTTCTTTTCTTATCTAGGGCAATCCTCACCTGACAAGAGAAACCAGAAGGTCTGTCTTCCCACGGCTCACCAAAAATGTGGAATTTTTTCACTGAGCACAAACACGTGGACTGGATTCTAAGTACATTTTAGTAAACACATATTGCTGGGTAGGCTACATCATCCGGTCGGAAGCATATTATTATTTGAGTACTACACAAAATTAAAAAGAACACAATGAACGTTAAATTAAATTAAATACACTGAATTTACAATTAAAGGACATTTGACTTGGCAAATATAAAACCATTCTTAAAAAGATCTACTATGAATGTATTTCTCATCTGAAATTATATTTACATAAGTCAGTTTCTTAAAGGTATTTCTATTATCGTATTCAATTAACGAGTCAAATTGCAGTTGCATTTATATCACAGCAAGCCCCAGAAAAGGTCATGTTTCAGAGTGTGGTTGGAAGTAAATGGAACTCTTCCAGGAATAATTAAATGACATGATCATTTACGTACCTGAATACTAACAAAATACATAAAAAGATACAAACTAATGCTTAAACAGCCTCCCAGAGACATAACGTAAAGGCACACTATAGTGCCAGGAACAAACATATATTCCTGACACTATGGGTGTCCAGCCCCCTTGAAAAAGTTAGTTTACTCACCTTTTTCTAGAGCTGTGTGGGTCTCTCCGTGGCTTGCCCTGCCCACGCTATCCCTCATTCCCATAGGAAAGCATTGAGAGGCTATTGCACATGCCAAGTAAAACTCCATGCTGCACCAATCAGCATCTCCTCATAGATTTGTATATAGAGATGCTTTGAATGTACAGCACTGACACGGGAAGCACCTCTAGTGGCCGTCTGAGGGACTGTCACCAGAGGTGTTCCTAGAAAACACTGTAAATACTGCAAAGGCAGTTTTTGCATTAAAAAGCTTTCTCGGACACACTATACACACAAGAACAACTACATTAAGCTACAGTTGTTCTGGTGATTATTATTTTTATTATTTATATTTGAAATTCACTTTGAATTTTCACTTTAGTCAATAACTCTGTAAAAATCACAGGAAATGGCAGCTACCATTTTAGAACAAAATAGCTAAATTGGGGGGGGATGCTCAGTTTTATTGTTGACATGGCTATAGTGACTGACATTTAGCTATTGTATCTAGTTTCTCTCATTATATACAATTGAAGATTATGCTAGCTTTAGTGTACAGATAATCTTAATTTTAATAATGACAGGAGGCGAGTATTTTGCATAATCTTTCTTTACTATCTCCATAGCAGCAAAGAAATGAGTGACAAAACTTTTAACCAATCACAACGTAGAATAGGGTATAAGAGGTGAGACCTATGACATCATTTCCTCTTTTAAACTTGCGACATCACAAGACCATAAAAGTAGAAAAAATAACCGAACAGCTGAGAAGTCCATAGAACAAGAAACTGGAAACTTAATCAGAATAAACTGAACCGGAACAGGTAGAATGCAGATGAAGACCTGTCCTTGTCAAACGATGGTCTACGAAGACCTGATGATGAATCTCCTGATGCGATGATGACGACATCTTGCATGGAGACTTTAATGATTCCGTGTAGCTCCTGGTTAAGCTGAAACGAGAGTATAAGGTGCGTTAGTGTCCAGAAGTGATTGTATAAAACAAAGGATGTCTGTCCCGTAATTCAACTTTAATAACGTCTAGTAACATGAGAATAAAATTAACTAAACGTCCTCCCTAGCGGTGTTAAATAAGTATCCCACCCAAACATATATATATATATCTCTATGATGTAAATAAGGCAGTTAAACAAGAGCTATCGTGTCAGGTATTATACCAACATATGAGAGAGCAAAGTGTAGTAGGTAGAAGTGAAAATAAAAGGGAGGGAAGAACGAAAGAGAACAGGGAGGGAAAATACTCGCCTCCTGTCATTATTAAAATTAAGATTATCTGTACACTAAAGCTAGCATAATCTTCAATTTTATCACATGACAGGAGGCTTCGTATTTTGCAATTTCAACGCTGAGAAAGAAAAGCAAATGCCGGATTATCAAGAGGACGAAAGTAGAATGTCCTAAAGGTAGATTCTCTGGTCCAGTCCGCTGCTCGTAAAATGTCCGAGAGGGAAGCGCCTGCCGCATAAGCGGAAGAGGCCGCTGCCCCACGAACGGAGTGTGCTCCAAAGGTTTGGTCAATACCGGCAAGGGATAGTAGCCACCTAACCCATCTGGCCAGTGTAGTAACCGAGACCGGACCATAAGGGCGGACGTAAGAGATGAGAAGTTGATGAGTGGAAGGTTGCCGCAACGTCGCGGTGGCTTCCACGTAGTGACGGAGGGTTGAGACCACGCAGAGTTGAGGGTCAGAAGGGAAGAAAGGGTAGAAGACCGAGAGAGAGTTGGACTTAGTGCGACGTGAGATCTGAAAGGTGACACCCGCTGGACAGAAAGTAAACGCGTTGGCATCAAAGGCGCGTACGTCCGCTACCCGTCGAAAGGAAACCAGACAGAGCAGGAGGGTGAATTTTGCGGTAAGCTGGCGGAGTGATAGTTTCTCGTTGGGAGGCCAATTACGTAAAAATTGAAGGACCACGCCAACGTCCCAGAGACTAGAATATTTAGGTTCCGGGGGGCGCCGTAGGCGCATACCGCGGAGAAGTCTGCAGATGAGCGGGTCCTTACCAACAGGAATCCCCTGTATCGGAGTATGAGCCGCTGAGATGGCTGACCGTACCACATTGATGGAACGGTATGACTTTCCTGCGGTGAAAAGTGAAGTTAAGAAATTCATGATGGAGTGAGTAGGTGCAGTAAAGGGATTGAGGTCCCGTCCCACACACACCAACTTGTCCAGGAGTGCCATGCTGATAAGTAGCACCTCCTAGTTCCTGGTGCCCATGAATCCCATAGCAGGTCCTTAGTTTCCTGCGATAATTCTTCGGTTCTCCAGGAACCCCGGAAAGAGTCCAGGCCACAAGGGGCAAGCGTTCCTGCAGGACTAGTGGGTGAGGAAGGCCCAATGGATTCCTGAGGATGGTTGGGGCATCTGGTAGGAGGAGGGGGTCGTTGATTGAGAGTTCCAGAAGGTCCGGAAACCATGGCTGGCTCTGCCAGAGCGGCGTGATGAGAATTATTCTCACTCCCTGTAGACGGATCCGGTGAAGGACCCTCGTTATCATTGCGAAAGGAGGGAATGCGTAGGCGCCGTCCCTTGGCCATTGTTGGAGAAAAGCGTCCGTTGCGAGGCTCTCCGGGTCTGGGAGCCAGCTGAAGAAAACTTCTGTCTGTCGATTGTTGCGGGACGCGAAAAGGTCTAGGTAGAGAGGTCCCCTCTGTGCATCCAGTAGCGCGAAAATGTGAGGGTCTAGCTGCCAATCGCTGGCGTCCCGCCAGTGATGTGAGTACCAATCCGCCGTCGTATTGGAGTCTCCTGGTAAGTGCTCTGCCAGCAAGGTGATGTTGCGTGGTAGGCAGTAGTCGAAGATCTCTTTCGTGAGATTCGCCAGTGTTCGAGAACGAGTGCCTCCAAGGCGGTTGATGTATCTGACCGCTGAGACGTTGTCCATGCGGAGTAGGATGCAGCAGTTGGATCGGTCCTTTGCCAGGCTGCGGATGGCGAAGGACCCGGCCAAGAGTTCCAGGCAATTTATGTGCATCGAGAGCTCTTCGGAAGTCCAGACTCCTCCTGTGGACGTGGTTCCGTCTGTTGCCCCCAGCCTGAACGGCTGGCATCCGATTCCAGCACGAAGTCTGGCTGGTTCCCGAATATGGCCCTGCCATTCCAAGCCTGCATGCAATTCAGCCACCAGTGTAGTTCTTCCCGAACTTCGACCGACATTGGAACCGGTTGGTCGTATGTTGGTTGTCTGCGAAGGAAACTTGCCTTGAGGCGTTGCATGGCCCTGTAGTGCAGGGGCCCGGGAAAAATGGCCTGGATGGACGCAGAGAGAAGGCCTACGATCCGTGCCAGTAATCGTAGGGGTATGGTAGTCCGACGAAGGACTTTCCGGATCTCCCTGCAGATTGCCGTAATTTTGGTAGCCGGGAGGTGAAGAGTGCATGATGTGGAGTCTATTACGAATCCGAGGAATTGAACTGATTGAGCCGGGGTCAATGCGGACTTGGGATGGTTGACGACGAAACCCAGAGAGTCCAAAAGGTGTAGTCCATATGCCGTATGTCTCCGCAGAGTGTCTGCATCCTCGTCGAAGATCAGGATATCGTCGAGGTAGATGATGCATCTTATACCTTGGGATCTGATTTTTGCCACTACCGGCTTCATAATCTTGGTAAAACACCACGGGGCCGAGCTGAGGCCAAACGGGAGACAGGTGAACTGCCAAGGGATCCCATGCCAGAAGAAGCGGAGGTAGGGACGGCTGCTTCTGTGTACCGGAATGGTAAGGTACGCATCTTTGAGGTCCAGACGAGTGAACCAGTCGTCGCGTTGAAGCAAGTCCCGGAGGAGATGTATACCTTCCATTTTGAAGTGTCGATATACTACGTGCGAATTGAGCTCCCTGAGATTGATAACGGGGCGAAATTCGCCTGTTTTCTTCCTGACCAGGAAGATATTGCTGTAGAAACCGGTGGCATCCGGAGCCGGTTGAATGGCACCCTTGGAGCGGAGTTCTCGGAGTTGCGCGTCTATGAGGCGGGCATCTGCTCGTGTAGTCTGGATTGGACGTGGAGGGGTCAGCTGGAGCGGGGTCGAGTCGAACTCTATTCGATAGCCCTGCACCGTTTGGATTATCCACGCATCTGAAGATAGTTCTTTCCAGTTCTGGAAGAAAAGAGAAACACGACCTGCGATATGACAGGGGTTAGAGGAAGAGTAAGATTCCGACTTACCGTTGGAGAATCTTGCTCGTGAGCGTCCTCGGGTGCCTCGGCCACGATCAGATCCCCTGAAGTGGTTGAATCTATTTCGACTAGATGAGTCTGGGTAGAACATCTGAGTCCTTGTTGTACGGGGGCCGGATGGCCAAAAACGGCTGGCGGCACGGCCCCTCTGCCGTCCAGCCCTTCCAAAAACACCACGGGTGTGGGAACCGTGGAAGACTTTCCGCATTGAAGATTGTGCCTTGTTAAGGGACGTGAATATGTTGACCCTTTTATTTAATTCCTTAAGGAAGGCCTCTCCAAATAATTTACCCTGTGCTAAGGGTCCTAATTCCTTATCCCCCAGTTCGACCAGTTTTTCGTTGATACGGTAAAGTGCTGCTCGGCGCCTCTCCGAAGAGAGGGCTACGTTGGTGTTCCCTAAGAAACAGAAACACCTTTGTGCCCATTCACGGGTATCTCGTGCCCATTCACGCACCGTATCTGGGGTAAAAGTGTCAGCCCTCTCATAGGCTTCATCCGCCATATCCATAATTCTGGCTAGTGGCCCAATGGCATCTAGCAGCTTATCTTGCGCTCCTTTAAAGCCGCGCTCTATGCCCTTGCGCGGATCCCGACCCCCTCGGGACATGAACGTAGTCATGAGCGGGTCAAACTCGGGGTGTGCGTCACTTTGTCCGGTAGACTAGGGCGAGGGCATTCGGATCTCATCCGGTTTCTTACTTCCTTGTCTAGCGGTTTTCTGAGCCAGAAGTGCATAAACCTTGCCAAATGCTCAGGTGGTGACCATTCTTCCGAACGGGGGTGCCGGATGTTTCTTGGGTCGAACATTTGGAGGCCCGAATTGTCGAGGAAAATCTCCGAGCCCTCCTGTGGGTTATCAATGGATGTTGCCATGGAGTTCTGGGGCTCACCCAGACCCTGTTCCCTTATGAAGTAAGGGTCAGAGTTGGCCGTGGAATCCCTGTCGGAGTCCCCTTGGTCAGAGGCTGCCGCCTGCCATTCATCCAGCACAGCTAGTGCCTGAGTGGGTTCTACATCTTCCTCACCTGAGGAAAGTTGTGTGGCATCGTGGGTAGCACGAACCGTGGCTTTCCTGCGATCAGCAGGGGCTTTCCCTTTAGCCTTGCGTGGGGTTACATTGCCCTTCCAATGGCGTTTTCGCCGTTGGGAGTGTTCCCTGGAAGAGTCAGAGTCTTCGGAGTCCGCCTTATAATGAACCCGTTTAGAGGTGGGCCTGGGAACCTCAGGGTTTGTTTGGAGCGACTTGGAAGCGGCTTGTTCCATGGCTGCAGCCACGGCTGCTGTTATCATGGCCTGGAGGTCTGGGGTTTGTGATCCCTCCATTATGAGGAGTGAGGATTCGGGGCTCACCCGATAAATTGCGTGAGGGCACTAGGCACGATTAATGGAGAGGCCTGGGGACCGGGGTGGTATGGTATCAGGACTAAATAACCTGTGGTTAGAGACCGGTAGGTCGTAGAGGAGAGGGCTGATTCACTGGGGCTCACCCAGGTGATCGGAACCTGCATAAACAGGACCGTTTAGCAGCATAAAATGGGGGCTCACCCCGGCCAGAATAAGGTGCAGACCAACTGGCTAAACCAACCCCAAGTGTAAGGCACTAACCTGGTCCCACTGAGTGAAAATGGTAAGGCTTTTCAATTGCTTGTTGGAATAGCAGGAGCAGAAAAATCAGGCAGTGTCTATCTCTTTAAGATGGCCGCCGGACTGACAGGCTCAGTGTGTGGAGAATAGTACCTCCCCCAGTTTGGGCGGCAAACTGTAAGCTTGCCATTCGCATAAAACTGCCGAACGTGAATAGAAGATCTATGCGAACTGCCGAACGTGCGAATAGAAATAGATGCGAACGTTTAAAAAGGCGATCGCGTCAAACTGCCGAACGAAGCGTTCGGTAGTTAGAAACGAATAGTCAATGTGCGGTCGCGCGGGCATTCGAGTAAAACAGGCGAATGCGCAAAACTACCGAATAACACGTTCGGTAAAAGAACAGAAAAACTGTTAAAGAGAAACCGAGAAAATGGAGGGAAAGTACAGACGGCGGGAAAGCCGTGAAAGACAGTTAGGGAGCCAGACAGGGTCCCCTGGTATACAGGGGTTAAGAGCATTAATAGGGCAAATATATAAAGGTACAGTGAAAACAAAAGGCATGTAAATGAAAAGTGTATGTAGAATAGATAATACAAAATTTGGTACTTAACTTGTGATGGAGCAGCAAAGAAAGAGGAAATGATGTCATAGGTCTCACCTCTTATACCCTATTCTACGTTGTGATTGGTTAAAAGTTTTGTCACTCATTTCTTTGCTGCTATGGAGATAGTAAAGAAAGATTATGCAAAATACGAAGCCTCCTGTCATGTGATAAAATTCAGGTAAATAACACCATGCAATAATGGTTAGTAGTGTAGTTCAGGTTGGTATGAAACAAGTTGGTAAAGCAGGTTAGTAACAGTTAGGCTCTAAGAATTTTACAGGGTCTGTAACCCTTACGCTGCCATGGACTTATGCAGTTAACACATCCTGCTTTCCTTAATATTTGTGTACAATTAATGCAGACCAGTCATGATGAAGTTTAAAAAAAGAAGTAACTCATTAATGCATGTGCATTGTATTTTTTTATGAAACAAAACTTTTTTTTTTTTTAGGGTGTATGCAACAAAAGACAAAATCAACCAATCATAGATGTTCAGTGCAAAAAGTATAATAATTCATATAACATTACGTATTACAAGAAAATCTACTGCGCATGTCTAGCACGTCTTCTCTAAACTATGCAAAGGTTATCTTGACCTGTGAGACAGAGAAACGGGAGGTTGTGCTTGCAAGATAGAAGACAGGGAATATAATTCTTGCTTTTAACCCCTGCAGATGTGGAAAGACTTAACTAAGACAAAAAGGCTTTTTAACCCTTTATTTACCTGTATCTATAACAAGTCCCCTTTTCTCTGGTACTGCAGGTGAGAGGTATCTCCGGATGTACTAATTACACCTGTGGGTCTTTAATTAGCTCTTTACCTCTTGTATGTACGTAGCGGGGAATTACGATGCCACATAAACATAGATAACCCCCCCCCCAATAACGACAGACAACTTAGTATGGCTGAACAGGCTACAGCATTTATTATAACATAAATAAATTACTGCATAACACATCCATAACTTACTTTATTAAACTCTTCTTTCTGTTAGAAATAAATAATCATAAATTAACATATATACATATAATAACTAAAACATAGTGCTATGCAGAGACCCAACCGTCCTTGCCAATAAACATCCAGTGGTTCCTAATCACCACTTCCTCTCACCTCCCCCCTTGTCATAAAAAAAAATCTTTCCAATGCCCGCCATCAGCCGACCTTATCCACGCTCGATGGGCACGATACCTCAGGCAACCTAATGTTTAACCTTTTGAAGCAGGGGAGGTTGAGACCTGCAAAACATAAAAACTTACTCCATCCTTAAACATAACCCCTCAAACTTAATTGGCAAGGACATACCCCCGGCTTGCTGTGACTAACTGAAACTACAAAGGGGTGGGCGGGTGGGCGGGAAGCTGTTTGCTAGCCCGTATCCCAAGTGGCACTGAGGTAAGACCTCCCCCACACTAACTCACATTAAACCTAACCCCTCCCATGCACACTTCCCAAGTCACTCCCCTGCATCTATCCCCACACTCCTACATGTGCCCTTGTCCGCTTAGCTGCGCTGTCTCCCCAGGGCCTATTCCCTCCCCCTCCCCCCAACAAACCATCGAGGAAGACCTGTCCAGATATTTGTAGATACATGATAATACATGTTATTCAATCCACATCTCAGTATGCAATACATCTATAGGGTAATGCTTATATGTATAGCTCTGTTTGTCTAGGGGAATATTCACTAAGCATTGCATAGGTAAAATAATTCTCCATCAGTAACAAAGGTTGATATCATAGATCAGGTAGGTATAAAGCAGCTTGGTAAAGGTAAAGTAGATAGGAGCCACAATCAGAAGCTCTTTCAGGTAGACCGTCAACTTCAATGTAAAGGTCCAGTATTGAGCTGGGTGTGGCCTTTTGTAGGATAAGTAATCAGTCCAGGCAGGTGTGGTAGAGAGAAGGAAAGATCAGTCCTAGTGGTTAGGGAGGCCACTAGTGGTGGAAAACTGGAACTTGTAATGAAACAGAATAAAAGAAACATAATCTGGGTTGTCAGGATAGGATCCTGACATACACACTGACACACACATGCACTGACATATACACACCTTGACACACAGATACCCACACAGGCACAGACACACACAGATACCCAAATTGACACATACAAACACAGATACACACACTGGCAGACAGTGGCGTACACATGACCCATGGGGCCCCGGTGCGAAAATTGATCCGTGGGCCCCCCCCCCGCGCGGGCCGGGCCGCAACACATGGCGGTGGGCACCTGGTCACAGGGCTGCGACCCCTGCGACCGCGGTATGTACGCCAGTGCATGCAGATGCACACACACTTAAAGGACCACTCTAGGCACCCAGACCACTTCAGCTTAATGAAGTGGTCTGGGTGCCAGGTCCAGCTAGGGTTAACCCATTCAGAGAAACTGCTATGTTTATGAATGGGTTAAGCCTTCCCCTATTTCCTCTAGCGGCTGTCTCATTGACAGCCGCTAGAGGCGCTTGCGTGCTTCTTACTGTGATTTTCACAGTGAGAGCACGCCAGCGTCCATAGGAAAGCATTATGAACGCTTTCCTATGTGACCGGCTGAATGCGCGCGCAGCTCTTGCCGCACGTGCGCATACAGCAGACGGGGAGGAGAAGAGGAGGATCGGAGGAGGAGAGCTCTCCGCCCAGCGCTGGAAAAAGGTAAGTTTTACCCCTTTTCCCCTTTCCAGAGCTGGGTGGGAGGGGGCCCCTGAGGGTGGGGGCACCCTCAGGGCACTATAGTGGTCCTTTAAAGGACCACT